AGGTATATGCTCGCTCGTTCTCTCTTCTTTCCTCTGAATAAGATTTTTCTTTCAGGTGGAACCGGATCAGGCTTCACTTCACTGTTGATGGAACGACTGTCGGTCGACTACGGAAAGAAAACCAAGCTTCAATTCGCCGTCTATCCGGCTCCGCAGATTTCAACGGCTGTAGTCGAGCCCTACAATTCGATTTTGACAACACACACAACACTGGAACATTCCGATTGCGCGTTCATGGTCGACAATGAAGCTCTTTGTAAACAGAAGCATTCAAACGAGGAGTTCTACCATTCAGTCTGATGAAGCTTACAAAACTTGAGGATTATTTTAGGACTTTTCAAGGGGTATAGTGGATCATACAGTCATATGAATGAAATTCAGATTCGCATGATATGTCGAGTGATTAGTTGGAAAATATGTAATTGATAATGCTCCTACCTAGACAGAGAAAGATCGACCGAAAGGTCAAAGCACATAGTGCCGATTGCATCAGCTCATAAAAGGATAATCTTTTAGGCTGATTTTGACTATGCAATTATTGGATTTAAACGGCTTCCTGAGTAGTTTTGAATTCAACATAGAATTGTGAAAAAAAAGAACTGTCGATGCTTAAAGTGAGTTTCGAACAGAATCGTTGGTGCAATCCAAACGATTTGAACTCTTCCAAGTTCGATCGACGAGTTGGTGCATAATACTTTCTTCTAATGCTTTAAGGGTTTGACCTTTTCAGATTGAGTTTTTCTTAAGCGCTAGGTTCTATTTGAAGATCACATCTGGTTTCAAAACGAAGATGCATATGAACTCATCTAACATATGACTATTTTCAGATGATATCTGCCAGCGAAATTTAAACGTTGATCGTCCGACATACACAAATTTGAATCGACTGATTGCTCAGGTAGTTAGTTCTATCACAACCTCGCTTCGATTCAGCGGCGCTCTCAACGTTGATATAGCCGAATTTCAGACCAATTTGGTTCCCTATCCTCGAATTCACTTTCCTCTCGCAGCATGTAAGTCATGATTCTCCACTGGGTTCATTTTATTCACCAATTATCTTGTTAAGATGCTCCGATCGTTTCGGCCGAAAAGGCCTGCCATGAGTTGTTGTCAGTGGTCGAAATTACGAATGCGGCATTCGAGCCAGCGAACCAGATGGTCAAGTGTGACCCTCGGCACGGTCTGTTTTCTTTTTTTCTATTTATTCTTTCATTTGATCGTCTTCTACTCACAGGCAAGTACATGGCCTGCTGCATGCTGTATCGTGGCGATGTCGTTCCAAAGGACGTCAACTCGGCCATTTCGACGATCAAGACAAAACGGACGATTCGCTTCGTCGATTGGTGTCCGACTGGCTTCAAAGTTGGCATCAACTATCAGCCACCGACTGTCGTTCCCGGCAGTGATCTTGCCAAAGTACAGCGAGCCGTTTGTATGCTCTCCAACACGACGGCCATTTCCGGTATGTCTTGTCGGCCTATGTTTTGTACTGGAGATAAATATTTTTTGTTGTTGCAGAAGCCTGGGCCCGGCTCGATCACAAGTTCGACTTGATGTATGCCAAACGGGCGTTTGTCCATTGGTACGTTGGCGAGGGCATGGAAGAAGGCGAGTTCAGTGAGGCACGAGAAGATCTAGCAACGCTGGAGAAAGATTACGAAGAAGTTGGCATCGATACCGTCGAAGTAAGAATCTTTTTTTTCTATGTTTCTCTTAACCTTGTCGTTTCTTTTGCAGGGTGAGGCCGAAGGCGAAGATGACAGCGACGAATATTGAGCTTGCTCCGTATTCCATCTTATTGTCTGTTGGAATTCGATGAACAGCACGAGTCATCTCGTTCAATTTATCTTATCATCTCTTCATGTATATAAACAGAAATAAAATAAAATGAAAAAGTTACTTTATTCTTTGATCGATTGAGTTATCAACTAATTCGAAGTGTTAAGATCGAGATTACGACGCGTTCTAATCAGTATTTTTACAGACGAGACAGTTGTCTGAATATCTGAGAGTTAAGTCATCAATACCAATAATGGCTCATTTACCAATGGACAAAACCACGTAACAACAAGTTCTAGCTTCGTTTGGGGTGAATTTCGAGCAGCTTTTTTTGTAGTTAAATCGACAAAAATTCAGATTAGTTGATGAGTACACAAACAAATTAAAGTAGGAAGTAATTCACAATTTTATCACAACTTGTTTTTCGTATTTTGATATGCTTGGATAGAACTCATATAGTCACATAAGAAAACGAAAAGTTCAACTTTTTGGCGAAATATTTTAAAATGAAGTATATTTTCATGCATATACGTCGTGTAGAAACTATTTTAGATGAGCTAAACAATTTGCAATCAATTGATTGACAATGCTGTTATCAAAATATATAGTTGAGCTTTAATTTTCAACTGAACATCATACGCATGTCTATTGAACAACAAACAAAAATTTATAAATTATTCAGAAAAAAAATAAAAATTTGCCAGAGTTGAATAAGTCGAATAAAGTAAAATCTTTATTTAATCAGATTCAACTTCTGATCGAAGAAATCTCTGCTTTGTCGTTCTGTGTACCATATAGTCTATGTTAAGCGTCAATTAACTTTTATTTTGAATATACGACACAGTATTGCTTGAACTAATTTGATCTACAGCTGCACCAAGCAAAAGATTCCCAAAACTACTAAAAAATGTACGTATAATATAATCATTTATGATTCCTAATTAAACACAAGTGGTTTTCTGAAGAAAACATCGTTATTTCAATTTAAATATTCTATCAATTAAGTAACAATTTAAGAATACTATAACACCGAGATATATCGATTTCAAATATCATTAGGGTCGTGTTTTTTTTTGTTCGATCAGATGTATATGAATACAACTGAATGCATATTTACTCTCTTTTCTGTACCAATAAAATAGATAAATTTTTACATATTCTTGATGTACATACATAATTGATGTATAGAACAAGCACATTTTTTCTGATTCATTATGGAACGAAAACAGTTCAAAGTCACTTATGATATGGAAAAAAAGATATTAAGACTGTACCTTATTCGTCGGACGATATGTTTACGCCGTTTCGAGCAATCAAAATGTAAGAATAGATTTTAAATACAAGCATGTTTATTATTCAGTTCATAAACAATATATTCAATTTTTATCTTCAAATATATATAGGAACTTCTTTGCAGTTAGTTTTCGTGATGTTTTTTCTTAAAAACAAGGCTCTTGTTAGTGAAGCGGATCATTAACTAATAGTCGGAGAGTTCTATCAACTCCCTCCTCCAAAAGTATACTGTTCTTCTTTTGATTACTGATTTCACACTCATGTCAAGTACTATTTAATAAATTGTAAGAGAAATTGTGCATGCTAGACAATTGTTAGTTTCTATCAAACAAATATCTCTATGACGATTGTTATCCTGACGTTGTATCTCGTTTCTCTATGTAAAAAAATACATCTTTTAATAAACTATTTATATATTTTTCGAAGAGGAAGCTAGATTCAAAACATGCTAATAGTTAATATAATTTATATTTTCAAGTTTGTCTCCTTTTCAACGATTAGTAATCGTTACATATGATTTGGGTCATGTTTTCTTATATCTGTTTGTCCGCTGAAAGACTGTCTAGTTAATCATCTATATCTTTTGCTGTTATTTTACCTAATCATTGCAAAGATGAATGTGTACAAACAAAATAATTTCACTCAAGTGATGATATGCAATAGTACTAAAAAAAATATTGAGCCTAGTAGAACTGCCTCAACTTTTACAAACTTTTTTTGATACCACATTAATCAAATATTCCACCAAAAAACAAAAATGTTCTATTTCGAGTTTTTTCTTGTAAAAAACATCATGGAATATTTCCCTAATAGATATAGCCATCATGTTCATTTCTACTAGTAAACAATCTTTTAATAATCAACAACAAACCATACGTAGCATATATGAGGTGTGGGTGTGGGTGTGAGTGTGGATGTAGGTGTGGGTGGGTGTGCGTGTGTGGGTGGGGGCGGCTGTGGATGCCAATAGAGTGATATCACACCCACACACTCACACCCACATCCATACCCTCACACCCACACATCCACACCCACACCCTGTACGCATTTGTTAAGCGATACGAACTTTTGGTACACCCTGTACATAAAATAAATTTCGATATTTCGAGTTTTACAGTATATGCCATTTCAAACTTCTACTATATTGATTTTTGACAGAATTTGAAAAATTCTATCTCATAAGTTCATATCTACAAGCAAGAAACGTTTGCACCGATTTTCACTCTTAACTCGGTTTATTTTCAAATTATATCTTATTGTTTTATTCTGATTTAAATAATTGTTCTATGAAACTGCGATACGTGTATTAACTAACTAACTCTTATTTTGAGACTCGTTAATCGTGAGATCAAATTGAAATTAAATCAAATGACGAAAATTATTAATAGAAGAAATGGACTCGTTTATGCATTAGAACTTTTAATCAGTTCATCAGTATTTTCAGTGTTGATAACAAGTTCATTTATTTTAAAGATTATGCAGCATACTGAAACAAAAGTACTTTTTTCGTTCGACATAAACAGAGTGAAAATAAAAGCGAGAAAGAAAAAAAAGAACTAACTCAATTATCTGACATCTGATTCGACGCATTGTGTCAATTATTAATAGAATTCAATAGGATTTAGAGCGAAAATATTCACTTTTAGTCAAGATAAAGTATTTTACAAAGATTGATCAAAGTTAACTGTTCGAATTGGACAGTTTTCTACGAATAAAAATTTGATATTTTAAGATAAAAGATCTTATTTTTCTCTCTTTTATGTAAAATCAAATGAAAATTTCTAAGTCTTTTTTTTTCATATATTTTTTCAATGAATATACTTACGATAAACAACTTAGTTTTTTGACGAAAAATATTTCTTATTATTTTAATTAATAGTGTCAAAAAAAGGATTTTTCACAAAAAAAACCGTTCTTTCATTAGTTAACTAGAAGTATAAAAAAATCAGTAAGATAAATAAGAATAAATTAGTGTCGAATTTGTTAGACTCATTTGTTATTGGCGTAACTTCTATGTCAGTCGTATTTATTCCCCAATAATTTGTTGTTGAATTAGCAAACACAATGTATAATGTTTGATTAACAGTTGGATCTGAATAAAACCAATCGATTCCAATTAAATTTTCTTTCAAACTACACGTATAATTAATAGTTTCCAAATCTAAATTTAATTGTTGTTGATATAAAAATTGAAGAATAATTTGTTGTGTACATGTTGACGATTGCAAACCACCTTTTTTTGTATAAGATTGAATCGCAGTAACATGAGTTAAACCTTTCATTTCAATTAATTTTGTTCGAATAGATTTTGATTGAAATAATTTTTGTACTTGTTGTGCTGTTGACATTGGAGAATGATAATCTAAATCTCCATTAAATAATAATATTCCACTTCGTTGAGATCGAAATGTTTTTTGATTAACTTCAAATTTTCCCCAATAATTTGGATTTCTTTTATACATAACATCTTTCAAAGTGGATGGTAATGTGTAATTATATTTTGATAATTGTGTTTCATCACAAAATGGTATAGGACCAGTTCGTGCTAAGTTAAATCTATTGAGAACATTAGTATTTATACAAAAATCATTATAAAATGTTGAATTTGTTTTTATATTCTCATTTATATTGAAGCCAACAAAATCGCTCCAAATTGTTAAACTTAAAACATTTCCATCATTTGGATATTGTTGAGGTGGATCAATAAAATGTTTCGATATTGCTTGTTGAGCTACACTAATCATAATTGGCAATGATCGAGACAAGACTCGTTGATCTTCACTCGAACATCGATAGAGACGAGCAATTAATATAACTGTTAATGGACGAACAGTAATCATTTCTATTCCTTGATTTCCAATAAGAATAAATAAGTCCCAACTATTTAATCCCAATTTGGTTGTACAAAGAGGATTTGTCATATTTGTTTCAAAAAGCGTTTCTAATGTTAATGCTAC